TCCTTCCGCCTCAGCCTTCCAAGTAGCCAGAATTAAAGGCATGCGCTACCACGCCCGGCTCATTTTTTGATTTATTGTAGAGATGAGGTCTCACTGCCCAGGCGGGTCTCAAACCCGCGGGGTGAGGCAATCCACTCGCCTCAGCCTCCCAAAGTTGCGAGATTACAGGCTGAGCCACCGAACCCGGCTCAGCCTGACTCTTAAAACACCAGGAGGGGTTATTCGGGGAGGGGTGGCGGGAAAGGTGGTCTAAGGGGAAGGAACGGCGTGGTGGAAATCTGGAGTGGTGAGCCTGGGGGCTTCTCCGTGGAACCCAGCGCTCCTCAACTTTCCTCACTGTCACCTCCTGGGGACCCTTCCCGGACGTTCTCCCGGTCGCCCGGTGACAGCCAATCTCATGACATGCTGTGTGTCTGTCCCCTGCACATGTGTCTGTGTGTTTGGCCTGACCGAGGCCGGCCTCCTCGCCTCTCAAGAAGCCGGGCCGCCCTCTGGGGGCACCCGGGGGGCTCCTGGCCTGCGCCCGCCCTTCCGGCCTCTCCCCCTTCCCCGGGGCTCCCCTGGGCGCCTCGGGGCCCTCCCGGCAGCCTACTGGGCTCCTGTTTTCCAGCCGTCATCGAAAAGAAGGCCAACGACCTGCTGCTGCTGGAGTCCCACCGGCGAGTCCTGGAGGCCAGAGTGGTCGAGGGCGAGGCCTCGAGCTTTGTCAGCCCTTTCTGGGGCGGCTCCGCCCTGGTCAAGCCCCCCGAGCCCATCAGGACCATCGCCCCGGTGCTGGGGGCCGACCCCCTCAGCGACAAGCTGGATGACGGTGAGCTCCGTGGGCGAGGTGGCCGGGAACCCGGGCCGGGAACTGCGCTGGGCTCCGAGAAGGCCTGCAGCACCAAGCCTCAGTTTCCCTCTCTGTAGGAGTCCTCGGGAGCCCGCCAGTTGCCCAGCTTCCCTCTAGGCTGTGTCCACCTCATGTTCTTCGCTTGGGACTCTTTTCCCTGGGGTGCGAGAGCCAGCTGGCCCAGGACCCAGGGAGGAGCGCTCCTGGACATTGTTTTGAACCCTAACTCCTTTCTGATCATGTAACATGAAACAGGCCAGGCACGGTGGCTCACACGTGTCATCCCAGCACTTTGGGAGGCTGAGGCGGGAGGATGGCCTGAGCCCAGGGGTTTGAGACCAGCCTGGGCCACATGGCAAGACCTCGTCCCTACAAAAAATTTAAAAAAAAACTATCCAGGTCAGACTCGGTGGTTCAGCCTGTCATACCAGCACCTTGGGAGGCCGAGGTGAGTGGATTGCCTCACCCTGCAGGTTCGAGACCCGCCTGGGCAATTTGGCGAGACCTCGTCTCTATAATAATTAAAAAACTAGCCAGGTGTGGTAACGCGCACCTGTAGTTCCAGCTACTCGGAAGGCTGAGGCGGAAGGATCACCGGAGCCCAGTGGGTTGAGGCTGCGGTGGCCGGGGGCAGCCACTGCACTCCAGTCTGGGCGACAGGGCGAGATTCCAACTCAAAAATAAATAATAAATAAATAAAAAGTCATCCCCACTCCTGAGCAGCATTTCAAGTATGCAAAGGATGTGGGGAGAGACCCCCCCAGCGCGCACACACACACATGTGTGCACACTCATGCATGAATACACACACACATGGCACGTGTGTACATGTGCACACACGTTTGTGCACACGCACACATGGAAACATGCACACACATGAATACACATGTGCACACACACACTGCGCACTCAGGCATGTGTGCATACGCAGCTGTGCAAATACATGCACACACCTGTGTGCACACACACACACATGCTTGTGCACACAGCTCGTCTGTCTGAGTGGAGGCTGCCGAATGCTCGCTGGCTTGGCTTTCACCCACCTCGGCATGGCTTCCTGAGCTCATCTGGCTCCAGAAGCACGTGTGTGGGCTGGCTGCTGGTTGAGCTGTCCTCTCGGGGCCAGAAACAGACAGACAGTGTCTCGACCTCTGTGTGAGGGAATGTTGACAGACACTGGGTTCTTCCAGCCCACCTGCTCCTAAAGCCCATGGGGTGGATCACACGAGGAGCCACTTCTGGGTAGACCAATTCAGGAAAGGTGCCCTATAGGTAGATACGGCTCAGCAATCAACTGGGGGCTGGATTTCAGTCCACCTGTTCACTCTTCCGTACTAGGTGTCTTGGTGCAGTGCACATCCTGAACAACCACACATGGTGGTCCTCTCTCCTCGATATTAAACCAAATGTCCTTCACATCCTGATCTAGGAGAAGAAAATAGTTGCTGTCCGGGCACCCTGCGGAATATGTTTCTGCCTGTGCTCCCCCCCGCCCCCAAGCCTGAGAGTTTGCACACTCCACTCCCCAGCCCTGGGGGCGGACAGCGAGCCAGGCTTGGGCATCCTCGGGCAGCCACGCACAGCAGGGTGGGGCGACGCAGTCGCGGGCGGCTTTGCCGGCGCCTCACCCTGTCTGTCTCGGCAGTGGACCAGCCCCTGGACCACGACAGCCTCCGGCAGCTGGTGCTGGACAACCACGCCCTGCGTGAGGCCCGCAGCAAGGACTGGCGCGCCTACAGCCTGCCCGAGCAGCTGGACGAGCTGCGGACCAAGAAGAAGTCCCTGCGGGTGGACGTGACCGCGTCCTGAGCCAGAGGATAAAAGTCTGTTCCGCAGCCTCCGGCCTGTTCGCTTGCCGCCCAGGGCCCTGGGTGCCGGCCCGAGGGAGAGCCCAGGAGGGCTGGGTGCACACGCGAGGTCAGCCGGGCCCCGAGGCTCTCTGGGGCGGTGGTGGGCCCAGGAACCCCCGGGACAGCAGAGGGAGGGGCAGGGTGGGCGTGGCAGGCGGTCACGGCGGACCCTGGGGCACGGGGGCTGATCTGTGTCTCTGTGTGTCCGTGTGTCTGTGCGCGTCTGTATCTCTGCGTGTCTCTGTCTCTGTGTGTGTCTGTCTGTGTGTCTCTGTCTCTGCATCTCTGTGTGTCTGTATTTCTGTCTCTGTGTTTCTCTGTGTGTGTCCCTGTCTCTGCATGTTTCTGCATCTCTGTGTCTCTGTCTCTGCATCTCTGTGTGTCTCTGTCTCTGCATCTCTGTGTGTCTATTTCTGTCTCTGTGTTTCTCTGTGTGTGTCCCTGTCTCTGCATGTCTCTGCATCTCTGTGTCTCTGTCTCTGCATCTTTGTGTGTCTCTGTCTCTGCATCTCTGTGTGTGTGTGTCTCTTCCTCTCTGTATCGCTCTGGATCCCTGTGTGCGTCTTCCGTGGGTGACCGTGTCACTGTGGGGCAGCGTCTGGGGTGTCTCGCCCCGACCCACGCCTGTGCGTGGCCAGGGACTGGGTCATCCCGTTGCGTCTGCAGGCCGGCAGGTGTGAGGCACGGCCTGGCGCTTCCCGCGAGTCGGGGCTGCGTGGGGCGTGGGTGGTCCTGGGTCACAGGGGCCCTGGCTCCCGGGTCCCCCTTGAAAGGCCCGGGCTGAGGTTGCCGGTCCCGCAGATGGGCTGCCGGGGCTCCTCGGGGTCTGGCGCACACTCTGCCGCCGAGGACCTGGCCGCCCCGGCTCCCGAGGCCTCCCGGCCTCCTCCCCGACCTCGCTCCTCGCCCTGGTGGTGCCCGGTGTCTGGTTCTTGGGCTTCTCCCGACAACGCGAAGCCCCAGGCCGTGCCCCTCGGTTTTCCCAGGGTGCGTGGGCAGCGGGGGGTGGCCTCCAACGCGGCGCAGTGCTGACCACGGACCCAGGCCTGCCAACCAGGGGCCTGGGTCGCCTGAGCGGTCCTGAGGGCCCATGGGTCCGCGTGTGGCGCCGGGAGCGGTGTGCCCCTCTTCCCACCAGGGCTGCCGCGGGGACGGCTGGGAGCCAGGAGCGGCTGGCAGCCTTCTGCCACCGTGTAGGGCAGCACGACCCAAGGCAGCGCCAGAGAGGCCACCTCGGGCCTGGGGCCCTTGGACGTCCTAGTCATGTGCACCCTTTTGTTTCTTACGGTGGGATTCCTGCGGCCAGAACAGACCTGAATGCCTCCGCCATGGCCTCGGCCCCTCAGAATCGAGGGTCCCCTCCCGCCCAGGCCTGGACCCCAGGCAGGGCCAGAAATCGGTGCCCCTCCTGCAGTTTGCCAGGCAGCCCTCACCGACTTTGAAACTAGAAATTAACCTTGGGTGGTTGGCAGGCGTGCTTCTTGTCCTGAGCCACATGCCTGGTGCGTGTGGGAGACCGCACGCCTTCACTTTCTTTTTTTTTTGAGTTGGAGTCTCACTCCGTCGCCCAGACTGGAGTGCCGTGGCCGCTCCCGGCCACCGCAGCCTCCACCTGCTGGGCTCTGGCGATCCTTCCGCCTCGGCCTTCCGAGCAGCTGGAACTACGGGCGTGCACCACCACACCCAGCTACTTTTTGATTTCATGGGTCCCGTCTCGGCATGCCTAGGGAGAGCCAGCCCAGGGCACCCTCCGGGAGAAGGCGTTGCAGGGGCCGGGAGAGGGGCTGTGGTTATCCAGGGAACATTCTAGCAACTTGTGGCCCTGGATGGCAACAGTCCTGAGGGACAGCCAGGGCCTGCTCTGTACAAAGAGCCAGCATGATCCAATGACAGTGAGCGCAGGGCCAGACCAGCCCGCATGCCGCCCCCTCGTTCCTCCCTCAAGTCCCCAAGGCGCTTCCGTCAGAGGAGCCTCACGACCTGCACAGCTCGGGTTTATTGGAGCACGACCTGGGGGCCTGTCCACCAGCAGGATGCGTGGCCGCCGGCCTCGCTAGCCACAGGGCGGGGACAGTCACACGGCTCACAGGTGGGGGGGCTTGCAGGGCGAGGGCTGGCAGGGCCCGCCGCCCAGGCCGCTCCGCCCAGCCCTAGTCCTTCTCCTCCCCATGGGTGATGATGTGCACCAGGTTCTTGTAGTCCAGGTTGCCGGTGACGTCCGGGGGGAAGGCCGCGAACATCTGGTCGATCTGTGGCCAAGCAGCGGGCGGCCCTGAGCACGGGGCCGGCCCCGGGGGCGGGGGGGTGGAAGCCACAGGAGTGGGGACAGGGGATGGGAGACACGCCGCTCAGAGCCTCCCCCAAGGGCACCCTGCCCGGCTGCTGGGCGACCCCTCGGCCAAGGCCGTGCTCTTCCTGGGCGGCCATGGCACGTCCGTGGCGGGGGTAAGGCCCGGCCTCCGCCCAGCTCAGGACCCGGAAGGCTCCAGGCCCTGGGGGCTTGCCGGGACTCCCCTGGGGCCGCATCTGGGGTGGAGGTGTCCCTCCCCACTCCCCTTCCAGCCACCCTGCCCTCCCTCCCCCGTGCCGCCCAGGGGCCCTCCGAGCAAAACCCAGCCCTGGGTGGGGCAGAGCAGGGCTGTCCCAGGGGGCCGGCGGGTCATGTCAGGGAGGAGATGGCCCCGTGGGGCTGTGGCTGCACATGCCGTCCACGCAGGTGGCCATGGGTCCAAAACCCGGGTCAGAAGTCTATTTTTTTTAACATGAAGTTTTTAAAAAAGTTTTTGCTTGTTTGTTTTAGAGACAGGGTCTCTCTCTGTCGGCCAGGCTGGAGAATAGTGGTGCGATCAACTGATCCTCCTGCCTCAGCCTCCTGAGTAGCTGGGACGATGGGTGTGCGCCACCATGCCCAACTAGTTTTTTAATTTTTTGTAAGATTGAGGTCCTGCTATGTTGCCCAGGCTGGTCTCAAACGTCTAGGCTCAAGCAATCCTCCCACCTCAACCTCCTAAAATGTTGGGATTATGGGTGTGAGTCACCGCACCGGCCATGGCTAGTTATGTAAAAGCATGTTGAGGCCGGGAGTGGTGGCTCATGCCTGTAATCCCAGCGCTTTGGGAGGCCGAGGTGGAAGGATCGCCTGAGCCTAGGAGTTCAAGACCAACCTGGGCAACACAGCTAGACCTCACCTCTACAAAAAACTTAAAAATTAGCCGGGCAGGGTGGCGTGTGCCTGTAGTCCCAGCTACTGGGGAGGCCGAGGCGGAAGGATGGCCTGAGCCCAGGAGGTCGAGGCTGCAGTGAACTCTGATAGTGCCACTGCTCTTCGGCCTGGGCAACAGAGTGAGACCCCAACACTCTCCCGCCCTTGGCCCAGGTCAGCCCTCTACAGGCGTTAGCTCGTCGAATCCTCACAACATACTCTGAGGTCGATTCTGTTATTTTTCCCACTTTACGGGTGAGGACTCGGAGGCCCAGAGAGGTTAAGGAGCTTGTCCCACATCACACAGCTGGGGACGGCAAGTGCAGCTCCATGAACTGCTCAGGTTCTCGGAGGAGGAGACTGAAACGCAATTTAGGAAAACGTGGGCCTTGATGGAAACAGGCCTGAGGGACTGTGAGGGGCTTTTTGGAGGCTCATTCAGTTTCACCGATAAGGTTGACAAGATGCTAGCTAGCAAAGTGGCACTGGTGCCCCTTCCAGGCATTCCCTGCACCTGCCAGAAAAAGTCACACCGATGGGGTTTAAAGACTTATCGCAGGACCCTTTACTGCCACCTGCTGGAAAATCGTGCAACAAGTCTACACCTGCTGATTTTTAGGAGATGCATCTAGGAGAGTTGTGCAGTGCACGACTTACGCGACAGTACGTGGCGGCCCTTCACGCCACAGTAAATGGATGCCCTACGCATGTCTCTATGCATTGTGAGGAAGGCAGAACCTGGAGTCAGACAGAACCCTGGCTCTGGCACCTGTCATCCATGTTGTTTTATGTTATTTCTTTTTTGTAGAGATGGGGTCTTGCTATGTTGCCCAGTCTGGATCTCCTGGGCTCAAGCGCCCCTCCTCCCTTGGCCTCCCCAAGTGCTGGGATTACAGGCGTGAGCCACTGCGCCCGGCAATTTAGACAAGTGGCTTTACTTCCCTGTGCCTCGGCTTCTCTGTCTGTGAAATGACAACACCAGTCCCTACCGTGTGGGGAGACTGAGAGAATGACAGGAGGCGGGGCTTGGAGGATGACAGCCGGCTGTCTCAGGAGGGGAGGGGGTGACTTGGACAAGAGGGGAGCGGAGCCCCCCAGCGGTAGAGCCCGGGGCTGGGCACGGGGGTGCCTGGGACTCCTTACCTCCTCCTTGGAGAACCTCTCTGCCTGCGTGGTCAGCATCTCCCGGACGCTGCGGAGAGAGGATGACGGGGTGGGTGACCGGCAGGCACACGCGTCGGGGAGCAGGGAACCCCCAGACCCCACTCACTAAGCCGCCTTCAGCACCCCTTTGCCTTCGGGGTCGAACACTTTGAACGCGTTGAGAATGGTCTCCTCGGGATCCGCGCCTGCAGCGGAAAACACGGGTTCACACCGCTGTGGGTGGCCAGGACCAGGCGCCGCTGCCCCGTGGTCCACTCCCCCAGAGACAGAGGGGCCGCAGCAGGGCTGCTCTGCTCGGAGGAGACGCCTGCTTTCCTCTGCGCACCAAGGCCCCACGCGGCCTAGCTCGAGAAAGGCGGGATTCGAACCCTAACTCCGGCTTTGCTGGCTGTGCGGCCTGAGATGAGGGACTGTCTGTCTCTGGGCCTCAGTTTCCCGCCTGCAGACCGGGGACAAGACCAGCGCGTACCTCCCAGGCGCTACCCACGGGATAACGCGGGCCAGGTACTGAGTGCCAGCTGCAGCCGAGCCTTGGAGGCGGGCTGGCCAGGGCTCCCGCACTCGGGTCAGCAGGACTCGAGCCCCTTGCCAGCGACCTGTCTTCTGCCAACCCCTGTCTGATCTTCTAGCGCTTAAACCGTGCCTCGAGTTGAGGTCACACACGCGCGCACGCGGGCCCCCGGTCACGGGCTCACCCTTCAGTTTCTCCCCAAACATGGTCAGGAACACGGTGAAGTTAATTGGGCCCGGAGCCTCCTTGATCATGTCGTCAATTTCTTCGTTTTTCACGTTCACACGCCCTGGGGCAGAAAACACACATTCGGGGACCCCAAGCAGAGGAGGAATGCCGCCCGGACACCGGCGACACCGGCGCTGGTGGGTCCCCTTCGAGGACTCCCATCTAGAAAGAATCAGAGGTGGGCTGGCGGAGGCAAAGTTATCTTGAGAAGGTGTTTTCCGCCGCAGTGGTCTTTATTTTGTTTTTTGAGTCAGAGTCTCACTCTGTCTCCCGCTGGAGTGCAGTGGCACACTCGCAACCACCGCAGCCTCGACCTGCTGGGCTCCAGCTATCCTTCTGCCTCAGCCTTCCAAGAAGCAGGAACCACAAGTGCGCACCACCACGCCCGGCTAATCTTTTGATTTATTGTAGAGATAAGGTCTCCTCATGTTCTTCAGGGTGGTGTCATACTCCTGAACTTAGGAAATCCTCTCACCTCGGCCTCCCAAAGTCCTGATATTACAGGCATGAGCCACCGTGTCTGGCCAACAGTGGTGTTTATTTATTTTGAGTCAGAGGTCTCACTCCATCTCCCAGGCTGGAGTACAGTGACACAATCATGGCTCACCACAGATTTGAGCTTGGCTCAGGCAATCCTTCTCCCTCAGTCCCCTGAGTAGTTGGGACTATAGGCACGTGCCGCCACGCCCAGCTAATTAAAAAAATATTTTTTGGGCCAGGCTCGGTGGCTCAGCCTGTAATCCCAGCACTTTGGGAGGCTGAGGCGAGTGGATTGCCTGAGCCTGCGGGTTCGTGACCCACCCGGGCAACTTGGCAAGACCTCGTCTCTACAATAAATAAAAAATTAGCCGGGCATGGTAGCGCTCGCCTGTAGTTGCCGCTACTTGGAAGCTGAGGCGGAAGGATCGCCGGAGCCCAGCAGGTCGAGGCTGCAATGGCCGGGAGTGACCACCGCACTCCAGTCTGGGCGACAGAGTGAGACTCCAACTTCAAAAAAAAAAAAAAAAATTTGTAGAGGTAGGGTCTCGCTAGGTTGCCCCAAATGGTCTCAAACTCCTGGTCTCAAGCAATCCTCCTACCTCTGCCTCCCAAAGTGCTCAGATTACAGACATGAGCCACCACACCCAGCTTCATGATGTTATTGACAATAACCAGATGACTGGAAGTCACCCAAATATCCGATGTGGGGAAGGGTCGATTATTTTTAAGATAGTGTCTTCAGGACCTGGGACATTTTACAGGGATGTTTAAGTTTTTTACTCAAACGGAAATGCCCGTATTGTAAATTAGCCCTTCACAGCTGGAGGACAGATGAGAGACAGATGAGGCTCTGGAGAGACAAATGAGGCTCACCCAAAGGAATCTTTTTTTGAGCTACATGTGCTGTGACCCACAGCCCTGGAGATTGGCATACCTGCTCTAGTCCCGCCACGAGCCCACCCTTGTACAAATGAGAAAAAGCTGCCCTTTCTTAATACAATTTTTTAAAATATGAAAAGCTCCAGTAAACTACAGATGTGAACAGTGCCCTGTAGAACTGCACAGTGCACAACCTGCACAGCTGTGTATGAGGGCCCTGAGTTCCAAGGATGGGAGTTGGTGGTAGTGGTGGGCGGCAGATTGGACTTGTATATTTTGGAAAAGCTCCGTGTACTCATGCTCACATTGCTGACATGACACGTTTTAAAAGGTGGATTTAAGACAGAACGACTTCAGTTACGAAAAAAAAGAGAACCAGGCTTAGACAAAAGAGACTGAAATGTTAACAGTGGAATGTGGTCTTAGGGGTAATGCTGTTTTCTCTTTGATTGTTTTCTGCATTTTCTGAGTTGTCTGTTGTGAGCCGGCATTGCATTCAAACTCACACCAAAAAGTCATTTCGAAAGAAAAACAGGCCGGGCACCGTGGCTCATGCCTGTCATCCCAGCTCTTTGGGAGGCCAAGGCGGGAGGATGGCCTGAGCCCAGGAGTTTGAGACCAGCCTGGACAACATAGCAAGACCTCATCTCTACAGAAAATAGAAAAATTAAGCCGGCATGGTGGTGGATGCCTGTAGTTCCAGCTACTCGGGAGGCCGAGGCAGAGGATCTCCTGAGCCCAGCGGGTCAAGGCTGCGGTGGCCGTGACAGTGCCACTGCACACCCTCCAGTGGTGGTGGCGCTGAAGCCGTTTCTCCGGGCGACCTGCTGTAGCCTTTTCTGACGGTCCCGCCAGCACCCCCCACGGGCTGGGAGGGCGCCCCTCATGCAGGGGCTGGGGGCAGGGGGTCTGGAGGGGGCGGCCTACCAAGGGCGGCAAAGGTGTCCCTCAAGTCGTTCTTGTCGATGAAGCCATCTCGGTTCTGGTCCATGATGGTGAAGGCCTGTGGGAGGGATGCCGGTCACCCCGGGCAGGGGGACCCAGGAGCGGGGCCCAGGGCTGGGGGAGGCGGGTTTCTGGGGTCTCCCAGGGCGTCGGAGGACATCAGGCCAGGCGTCCGTGACTGAGCTAGCCGGGCAGGTCCTCACGACGTAAGGCCCAGGGTTACTGTGGGACCCAGCAGCTGTCCTGCCGGGCGTCCACCCACAGGACCGAGGGCGTTCACCCACACACAGACGTCTCCAGCAGCACCGGACACAGAAGCCCCCGACGGGAAGCAGCCCACAGGACCATCGACCATGCGTGGGTGGACAAGATGTGGTTTGTGGGGTCTGTCCGTACAGGGGGATATTACTCAGCAATAAAAAGAAAGCATATTCCGGCACACGCAGCAATACAGACGAACCCAGAAACATCAGACTAATGGAATAAGTCAGGCTGGGAGCAGTGGCTCCGCCTGTAATCCCAGTGCTTTGGGAGGCCGAGGCGGGAGGATTGCTTGAAGCCAGGAGTTTGCGACTAGCCTAGGCAACATAGGGAGACTCTGCCTCTACAGAAATTAAAAAAAAAAAGGCTTGGCATGGTGGTGCACACCTGTATTCCTAGCTACTCGTGAGGCTGAGACAGGAAGATCTCTCGAGCCCAGGAATTCGAGGTTGCAGTGAGCTGTGATTGCACCACTGCACTCCAGCCTGTGCAACAGAGTGAGACCCTGTCTCTGGAAAGAAAAAAAAATCCAGACACAAAAGACCAAGATGTCATTTCTATGAAATGTCCAGAGAAGGTGAACCCACAGATAGAAGATGGACTAGAGGCTGCTAGGCCCTGGGAGCAGAGGCCCGGGAGCGGAGGCCCAGGAGTGGCTGCTCAAGGCGTGAGGTTTCTTTCCGGGAGGATAGAAATGTTCTGGAATGAGTGAAGACGTCTGCGGGACCTTGACTTTACCACAGACCCCTGCACTGTACACTTCTGACACGTGACTTCTAGGGCATGCAACGTAGAACTCTAAGAAGCTGGGTTTTTTGAGGGGGTTGGAGTCTCACTCTGTCGCCCAGACTGGAGTGCAGTGGCCGCTCCCGGCCACCGCAGCCTCGACCAGCCAGGCTCCAGCGATCCTTCCGCCTCAGCCTTCCGAGTAGCTGGAATTACAGGTGCGTGCTGCCACGCCCGGCTAATTTTTTGATTTATTGTAGAGACAAGGTCTCGCTGCTCAGGCGGGTCTCGAACCCGCGGGCTCAGGCAATCCACTCACCTCGGCCTCCCAAAGGTGCGGGGTTACAGGCTGAGCCACCGAGCCCGGTTAGAAGCTGTGTTTCCAAAAAGTTCGCAACGAGGGTCTCGTGTGGCCTCCCCCTCCCAGGCCTGGCTCGCTCCAAAATGGGGCCACGACCCAGCAGGTCCCAGGAGAGCCCCCCAGAGCTTTAGAAGCACCCGAGGTGTTCCCACGAGTGCCGTGGCCGCGTTTTGGGGTCTTTACTGGTGCTGCCTCCTGAGGGCGTTGGTACCCTGCCACCCCTTTCCCCCTGCAGCTGCTGTCCTACCCCAGGCCAGGGCTGGGGCTGTCCCTGGACAGCCACTATTTCGAGTTCAGATATGTCTCGTGTGCCAGGAATATCTCTCTCCCTGGCGGCCCGCGGGACGTGGCCTTCGCAAAGTCTGCCTGGCAGCCCCTGTGGGTTCCCCTCGGATGGAGGGCGCATGGTCTCGCTGGCACGGCTTTGGCCACGTCCTCCGGAGGGCTGGGTGGGCGTGTGGCTCAGAGCCAGCCCTCACGACGGCTGGAAAACCCATTCCGAGCCTGTCCTTCCCGGCCCGTGGTCAGGGCTGGTTTTGCCTAGCCGGTACTTGGGTTTGCTTAACGGCACGAGACCACCGACCGAGACAGGGCTTTGAGTGGGACTGGTGGCCAGTCACCAAATCCAGGCGATCCTCCTCCCGCCTCTCAGATCGGCAAAGCCCATTTTGGCTATGAATGCCATCATCGATGGGAAGGCGTGGAAGGTCCTCTCTCACCGGCCCACGGGCGCAGGGGTCATCGCAGTGTTTCTGGTGGGTAGTTCGGGCCGGCAGTTCAGCTTGGTTTTAGTTAAGTTCCTTTGACCCAGCAGTTCTGCTTTTAGGAATTTACCGCAAGGAAACGCCGGAGATACAAGCAAAGACATGTTGTGTGCAATACTAAAACATGATTAACTAATGTAACATCCAACCACAGGAGACGGTTTAAATAAATGATAGAGAATTTTGGTGCTGAATTGCTCAAAAGAAAGACTTAGAGGGAGTGTACTGAAATGTGAACTGATTATTCCTGGGCAGTAGAATTGTGGGTAGTTTTCATTTTCTTCTTTGTACTTTTTTGAAAATTCTCCCTACTTTACATTTTTTTGGGGGTAGAGATAGGATCTTGTTATATTGTCCAGGCTGGTCCCAAACTCCTGGCCTCAAGTGATCCTCCCTCCGGTCTTGGCTTCCCAAAGTCCTGGGATCACAGGCCAGAGCCATCATGCCCGGCCTGTCCTATATTTTCAATGAGGAATCTGGTATTAAAAAGTTATTAAGCCGGCCTCGGTGACTCAGCCTGTAATCCCGCGCCTTTGGGAGGCTGAGGTGAGTGGAT